ATGAGGCTTTCTACTCCCGTAAAGATTTACACCCTCGGAAACCCTATACAGGGTCGCTATGGGTCGGAACCGACTCGATGGCACATAACAACAACAAATCACTAATTTTCTAGTACCTTTATGTCTAGTGGTAGATTTGCGATTTTGGGCGGAGCCACGTGAGGTAATGCTAATCTTCTTCCGTTTCAGAGGTGGCTGCCAGACATCTTAGATCTAGTTTCCAAAGTGACACAGAAATAATTTACAAGTTAAAGGGTCCCTCTAGAGGGATTCTGAGCAGCACTGGATCTGAATGGAAGAGGGAGGAGAGGCTGCAGAAGGCTTCTCATGGCATGATCTCAAAGCTGAAACTCGAAACAATGTCAATTCTAAAAGAACAGGAGAAACGGAGCCTCTTCCCTTGTTTCTAACAGGGAGAATGTATTTTTCCTCACAACAAATTTCTGAAACATATAGTTCAAACTGTCAGGACACAGAGTGATGGAACAAAGGTAAAGGAAAAAGGAATACTGGGTGGCCGCTGAGGCGAGTGAGCGATTAGGTTCTGAAGGATGGTAAAAATACTTCAGGAGACAGCTTCAAATGGGTTCCAAAAGGAGACGAGTCAAACTTGGGTTGGGAACCTCACAGCGGCCAGGGGGCAAACAAGCAACTGCTACCATCCGGGCCGAGGAAACTTCTGAAAACAGAAGCACTCGGAGGTGGTCAGGTCCCGTGCATTAGGTGAAGGGTCTTTTGGGTCGGTCAAGGTGGATTCCTGGGCTAAAGCGGCCCGGCTACCTAGCCAGCAGCACCATGCACCAAAGTGCCCCTAGCCCGGAACTCTTCTCCAACTCGTAGTATCCTACCAGGAGTGGACGAAGAGCATCGCTTAGATAGGTGCTCTGCCGCAAAGCACACCGGGATTGCGCAGTAAACTTGACGAAGACTGAAGGAAGACGAGACGACGGGTGACGCGGCTGCGCGAGAAGGAGGAAGTCCCGCCCAAGGCCCAGCCCCTGGCCGGAAGTGGGCCTCTGGCTCCGCCCTCGTGATCTGTACCTCGCGAGACTTCGCTAAGGCCCCTCTCTTTTTCGCCTCGACAGCCGACATGGTAGGTAGATTGTGCGAGTCCGCCTTGTTACTACATCCTTCCCGGATTCCTGCTCCCATCCACCCACCCCCAACTTTGGCTTGCTTTAGCAGTCCGCATTGGCCGACGTGGGCTCGGGAACCTGTGGCCGCGTGTTCGGCCCGGGGTTCTGATGGGATTCACACGGGCGGGAGCGCTCGGCCGCCGCCCTGATGAGACCATGCGGCCCACGGCCTTTAGGTAACCGCTGTTTGGGACGCCTCGTCCTTTCTTCCTGAACCCTTGTTGTTGTTAAGTGCCATCGAGTCGATTCCGACCCGTAGCGACCATAGGATTTTCAAGAAGCAAGCTGGTGAGCTTGAACCACCGACTTTGCAGTTCAAACGACTTTGCAGTCTGGCGCTTTAGCCCACAGCGCCACACCAGGACTCCTTTTCCCTTACAGACCACTAAGTGCCTGTTTCCCCACAGCCATCCAGACTGCGGAAGACCCGGAAACTTAGAGGCCATGTGAGCCACGGCCATGGCCGCATCGGTGAGTATAGACATCGTTCTTGGCTGCCCTGGGCTCTCAATGCTGGATACCTAGTTAGTCGGGAAGTAGGTAATACCGAAATGGGTTAGTATAATTGGATTAGGACTGAATTTGGCCTGTTTGGAGGGTCCTGTAGTATTCGTATTTTTAAAATCTTACCAATGGGGGATAAAAGTCGATTGGAGGCTCTGTTGAATTTTTGAAGACATGGAGTAGTGTGAGACTGCTGTGATGTGGAAAATTGTTTAATCCAGCGTCTTCAAGGAATAGCAGTGATGGAAGAGGTAGCGAAGACTGCTACCATGGGAGTGGGGAAATGGTTGAGCTTGGGAGAAAGTGATAATGTGGGGCTGTGTTATAGACATGCACCTTTGCATTCCTGCAGGCAAGCACCGAAAACACCCTGGAGGCCGCGGTAATGCTGGCGGCTTGCATCATCATAGGATCAACTTTGACAAATAGTGAGTGCTTCTTAGACTGTATTTTTATTGATTACTGACCCTCACGGCTTTGGGTAAGGACAGCCTGAGTGGGCTGACTCAGAACATCCTCAGTTGGAGGCAAGCTTATTACCACTCACAAACCTTGTTTATGACTGACTGGTTGAGGCTAGAGTCACGCTTGGGTATTTGTTGTTGCCTTAGTGTGCTAGAGTCCTCAAAGAGTGATTGCTGACCTTATTCACTGGCTGTGGGTCTTGTGGCACAGTCAGTCACCCGGTTAGCAACATGCATCAGATTGACTTGGCAACATTAGATGAAGCTTGTACCTATGAATGAAATTGTATTCAGTAATATTTAGGAGACTTCTGTTAAAGATTGTGTAGAATATCCATAGAAAGCTGTCAGGTAGCCCTGGTTAAAGTTCTGGTGCTGCCTGATTTTATCTTATTCTTGTCACCTGTTACATTGCCGTACCCACCTAGTGAATACTCATTGTAGGTTGGTTGGACTATGAAGATGATGTTAAGTGCCATCGAGTCAATTCTGACCCATAGCGACCCTGTATAGGGTTTCCAAGGAGCCGCTGGTGAGCCTGAACCACTGACCTTGCAGTTTAAACAACTTTGCAGTCTGACAAGTTAACCCATAGCACCACACCAGGACTCCATGAAGATGATAAGCATGGCTTATTAATAGGGGTGAGGTTCTCAAAATTGTTGCTTTTCTTCCCAGTCATCCAGGTTACTTTGGGAAGGTGGGTATGAGACATTATCACCTGAAGAGGAACCAGAGTTTCTGCCCAACTGTCAACCTTGACAAATTGTGGACCTTGGTCAGTGAGCAGACAAGGGTAAACGCTGCCAAAAATAAGACTGGGGCTGCTCCCATCATTGATGTGGTGCGATCGGTGAGTGGTCTGTCCTATAATTACTAAATTCCATCTTTTGGTCCCTTTCTCCGTGTTGTCTTTCTTGCTCCTTTTTCTCTTCAAAAGAGGGAACACATTTGATGAGTCAAATATTACGAGTGTTCCTTTCATTCCCTTGTTCGTATAGTTTATTTGAATATCTTTCACTTAGTGTTGCATATCAATAATCTTTGTGTTACTGGCATTGCCCTCATTGGTACCTGTTTGCATTTCTTGTCTGGGGGTGTTAGTGGCTACCTCCATAACTGGTCAAAGCACAAGCCTTGTATCTGTTTACATGAGAGACAGTTGATCTTTCAGTGGTGCTGCATTCCTTAAAAAGAGTAAAATAATATGCTTGACTGTTGTTTCAGACTACAGGATCTTAGCGATTCGCCTTTAGATCCCTCTTCCCAGCCTACTTAACGGTCCCTTGAGCAATGTTGGTAGTCATCCAGGGTGTTTTGCAGCATGTGGTTTTCCTTTACTGCTTATGACAATTGAGTGGGGTAGACAGGGGTCTGTGCTTTGCTCGAGACTAGAGTCACATCTTGACACCACTCTTGTCCTGGTGTGCTAGAGTCCTCGGAGAGGATCTACTGGTCTTGATTCACTGGTGGTGGCAAACAATGCCCCTCTTAGTGCCCTGGTCAGAAACATTTCCTACTTGGCTCCTAGAAGGTATAAGTTGTCAGTCATCTGTCTTATAAAACCCACTTCTTTTGTTTTTTCTAGGGTTACTACAAAGTTCTGGGGAAGGGAAAGCTCCCCAAACAACCTGTCATCGTGAAGGCCAAATTCTTCAGCAGAAGAGCCGAGGAGAAGATTAAGGGTGTTGGGGGTGCATGTGTCCTGGTGGCTTGAAGCAACATTGAAGTTAATTAAATGTTCTGTCATTTTCCCTTATGGTCTGAGTGTAGGTTCTTTGGTAACAACTCTGTGGCTATTTGAGCATTGCCACCATCAGGACCCCCATCTAACAGGTTCTAGGGGTATTGGGGCTTGTGTTTCCTTGCTGTCTCCTCAAACTGTATGGTAGGAATACACCAGCACTTTAAAAGGCTTGACCCACTGCCTGACATAACACTTTACAGAGTGGAAGTTATGCCTGTCAATAATATATTCTGGTTAAAACACCTGTTTGTATTGTGTGTTCTTAATTTAACATGAGTGGAGAGATGTACTCGTAGCTTTATGAAGCTCAAAAGGAGAGAGGGAGGACTTGGTTTTGAAATGGGGCGTGATTAGTTATAACCCATATCTACTGGGCTAAAATATGAGGCTAGTGGTTTGAGTAGGGTATATCCATCTAAATGAGCAGCATCAGAATACATTTTCAAGGATTTGCGGCATAGGAGTATAAATGTTTTAAAATAAAAACAAGTTCTGGTCTTCCTGTTGTGGCCAAATTGTATGTCAATACTATATGCAGATTAATGCCCTCCGTATAAATTTGCTGCACATCCTAAAAATCCTGGTGTGCTGTAGGACAAGCACTGAATTGCTAATCAAAAGGTCAGTGGATCAAACCACCAGTTGTTCCTTGGAAACCCTACACGGGGTGGCTAGGATTTGAAGGCATTTAACACAATGGAGTCATGGTGTGGTGCTGTAGGGTAATGCAGTCAGGTGGTTCAAACCTCCACTTGCTCCTAAAAACAAGTATAAGTTAAGAAAATGGGAGTTATGTGGGAGATGACCTTAGAAGAGAGGGCTGTAGTTTCTGAAATCCTTGAGAAGAGAGGGAGGGCTTAGTTAAATGGATTGTTAGTGCCATTTAACTAAGCAGTTGGTGCACAGCACCATGTACAGGATTTCCCATGAATAGCTGGTGATTTTCAACTGCCAACCTCAAAGGCTAGTGCATTATCCTGCATTCTATTTGGCCCACATCTTGATAGACCTTTTGAGTTTATGGGGAATTACAAAGGCATCCTTCACAGCCAAAATAATGCTAATTAGATTTCAGTTTAAATACAATGGGTATTACTATTCAGTGGAACTAGCTTGAGCAGCCAGCCCTGGAACAAAAGGCAAGTACCACCAGCTGAAGATGTACAGTGTCTTACTCCACTAGAAAGCTGGAGGGGTTAAGCACTTAGATCCTGCAGCCAACCTCAGTGGGGATCCTGTACCTAACCAGAGTCCCCGCCTGCTTCCTACCCACGGGGAGGCAATTCTGAGGGACAGAAGTTCTGGAGTACATTGACCCCATCCCCTTTCCTGACCTGCTTACATGCACTTTTATTGTGAATTGAGTGATAGGTTCATATGGCCTTTTAATATTACCCTCTTAAAAAATAATAGCAATACCATTTTGTCTGGTTCTAGAAAGTAATTTTGTATAGTGCCCTTTGAAAAGATACAAGGAGCTCTGGTAGTGTAGTGGTTATGAGTTGGGCTGCTTAATGAGTTGGTCAGCAATTTAAAACTACCAGTGGTTCCACACAAGATGAGGCTTTCTGCTCCTGTAAAGACAGTTTCAGAAACTACAGGTAGGCTATGGCTCAGAGCGATTCCACGGTACACCAACACCTAACTAAGAATATAGATTAGGGTGTTCGTTTCACTCCTGGCACTTTAAATCCTAACTATGTTTTACGTTCATTTCCACTTTAGGTTGTATTTATAAATTTGAATACAAGACAGGTAATAAGTTTATGGGAGTATATATCTGAACCAAAATTTTGACTGAGCTGTCATACCTCCACAGACCATCTCATTTGACTCAGAGTTGGATTGTTTTTCAAGTGCATTCCATAATGTGTGCCACTCAGTGACATAGGGGTTGGTTTTGACCCATAGCAACCTTATTTAGGGTTTCTGAGGAGCAACTGGTGAGCTTGAACTGCCGACCTTACAGTTTAATCTACTTGGCAGTCTAGCACATTAACCCATAGCATCACACCATGACATTGTATTTTCATATTTTCCTCAGCTTTCTAAGATTACACCTACTGTATAAATCAAGGGAAGCTTTGTCAAAATCGTTCATCATTCCAGAAAGCCACCTCACCACTGGTAACATTCTCATATAACAGAATCTGAGGTACTAATACAGCACACACTTCTCTGCGCATGTAGAACTACTATGTGTAGACGGTGTTAGTGCCACTGAGTCAATTCTAAGTCATAGCAACCCTGTCTAGGGTTTCCGAGGAACAACTGGTGAGTTTGAACCACGGACCATATGGTTCAAAGACTTTGAGGTCAAGTACTTATCCTATGATGCCACACCAGGACTCTATAGGTGTAGCATCTGAATTGTCTTTTAGTATAGTTGTGAAGCTGTGGGTTAATGCAGTGGATTATAAGGTCAGTGGTTCAAGCTCATCAGCTGCCCCTTGGAAACCTATACAGGGTCACTGACTCGATGGAATTGAACAACAATAACATAGTTGTGCCTAAGCATTTACATATTTAAGCATGGTTTTAAAAATATTTACCATTTCCCCCATGTGTATTAAAAGGAATCCTGATTAAAATGGTTGCCTGCAAATGGAAAGGTAGGCAGTTCAAACCCATCAGCTGCTATGCAAGAGAAAGATGTGGCAGTCGGCTTCCTTAGTTAAGAATTGATTGCCTTGAAAACTCTAGACACTCCTATGTCCCACAGGGTCCCTATGAGTCAGAATTGACTTGAGGTAATGGGTGTGTCACAGGCAAATGTCACTCGACTAGTAGCCCAAAGATGAGCAGTATAACCATTGTGAAGAAATACTTAGTGATCTGCTTCTATAAAAATTGGTAGGTGACACTGAATCAATTAAAAACTTTATTCTGTTTTCGGTGAAGGTTTACATTCAGTAATTTCTATACAAAATTGTTGCTGTTTCCATGAGTGTTGATTGTAGATCCAAGCAAAATGAAATCTTTGACAATTGCAATCTTTTCTCTGTTTATCTTGATGTTATTCCACTTTTAAGGGTTTTTGTTTTCTTTACATTTCGGTACAGTTCATAATGACGATTATAGTCTTTGATCTTCATCAGTAAGTATAAGTCTTATTAGCTTCCAGCAAGCAAGACTGTGATCTACCTGTTGCAGGGTAATGAGTATTCCTCCAATCCTGATGTCACATTCTTGGATTATTTCCTCAGTATTTATGTATAGTTAAAGGATACAACCCTGGTGCACACCTTTCCTGATTTTAAACCATTCAGTATCCCTTATCCTGTTCTAACAACTGCCTCTGTATAGGATCCTCATGAGCACAATCAAGTGTTCTGGAATACACATTCTTCAGGATGTTATATATTGTTTGTCTTGATCTGCCCAGCCAAAAGCATTTGCGTATTCAATAAAGCACAAGTAAACATCTTTCTGGTGTTCTATACTTTCAGCCAAGATCCATCTGACCCAGCAATGATATCTCTAGTTCCACATCCTCTTCTGAATCCAGTTTGAATTTCTGGCAGTTCCTTGTCAATGTACTGTTGCAACCTTTTTTTTTTTTTTTTTTTAATTATCTCCAGCAAAGTTTTACTTGCATGTGGATTAATTATATTGTTGGATGATTTCTGCATTCTGTTGGATCATGTCTCTTTGGAATGGGCACAAATATAGATCTCTTCCAATCCGTTGGCCAGGTAACTGTTTTCCAAATTTCTTGGCATAGATAAATGAGTGAGCCCCTCCAGTGCTGCATAAGTTAGTTGAAATAATTTGCTGTTTAGGTAGATCATATTATCTTTGAATTCCATTTCAAGTTGCTAAAGGGGGGCAGTTACAGTATTTGCTATTTAAAAGAAAGCACATGGGTCTGAAGTGGTGAGAACCACTGGTTTAAGAGCACAGAAATGATGTGAAAGCAGAACTTGAAAAGAAACCCTGAACACTTGTCAACCTCCAAGTAGGCTCTCTGCACACGTACCCACCTCTCCCTTCTAGCCACGCTCACGCCCACTAAAGACTTCTGTACCTCGGACATACCGCTGTGTGGTAACCCATTCTAAATCCTTATTGCCATTATCAGATTTTTAAACTGGGGTCAGACCTGTGGTCATAGTAGAAGTATCCCTATGCTACATAGAGGTTTCAGAATTTACAAAAAGAGTTTGTACCAGTACTCTGGAGGGTTCTTTAGAGTCATGTTAAAGAGAGTGAATGAGTGAGTGAGTAGTACCTTTTGGAAACTATTACTGTTTTAGGAATCCATTTCTATGACTAAGGAGCTCTGGTAGCATAGTGGTTACGAGATGGGCTGCTAGCCTCGAGGTCAATAGCTCAGAACTACAAGTCACTCCATGGAAGAAAGATGAGGCTTTCTGCTCCTGTAAAGATTTACAGCCTCAGAAATCCTATACAGGGTCGCTATGAGTCGGAACCAACTCCATGGCACACAGCCACCACCACCACCACCACTTTTATGACTGTCATGAGCCAGACCTGGGTTAACAGGGATAAACTCTAGAAGTCTCACTCAGACTTTCTGGTTATGATTTTTCTACCTCAGTTGGCCCACCCAGACTTGATGCCTCAATCTCTGCCCTCCCTATTCCTGAAAAATGTCCAAGTCAGCTATGTAGAGGCTTTTTCATCAAAAGGAAAAATGACTTTGTCTTTTAAGAGAAATCCTCTATTTGTGCTTTCTGAGGTATATGTTGTTAGGTGCCATTGAGTTGGTTCTGACTCATAGTGACCCCTATGCACAAAAGAACTGTCCCTTCCTGCACCATCCTCACAATTGAGCCCAATGCTGCTGCTGCAGTGTCAATATTGTTGGGAGTCTTCCTCTTTTTCAATGACCCTCCACTTTACCAAGCATGATGTCCTTCTCCAGAGATTGATCCCTCCTGATAACATGTCTGAAGTATAGGAGATGAAGTCTCAACATCCTGGATTCTGAGAAGCATTCTGGCTGCCCTTCTTCCAAGACATCTATTTGT